CTGGAAAAACCCGGTATCAAGCACTGGCAAGCCTATCTTCACCTTCTCCGATATCTGTCAAAAACTAAGGAGCTCTCAGTGCGTATCGGAGGCGGCGATGGAATCTTCCGCATCTACACTGATGCCGACTGCGCGAACTGTGAGGACTCTCGGCACTCATACTCTGGTTACCTTGTCACTTGGGGCGATTCAACGCTTGCGTGGAAGGCGAAGAAGCAATCATCGGTCTCCTCCTCCACCACGGAAGCGGAATATCGATCCCTCTATGACGGTGTGCAGGAGGCAATATGGCTCAACGACTTAGTCAAATCAATCACTGGTTCCTCAATTTTTCCGATCTCAGTATTCTGCGACAACCAAGCATCGATTTCTCTTTCCAAGAATCCTCTCTCCAATCACCGAACAAAACACATAGGCGTCAAGCACCACTTCATCCGGGAAGCGGTTCAGAAGAACTGGGTCGACATTCAGTATGTATCCACAAACGATATGCCAGCTGATGGTCTCACCAAATCTCTCGCCAAATCAAAGCATTTGGACATGCTCCATTTTCTCAAGATGAAAATCTCAGAGCTAGAAAGCTAAAAAAGGAGGGGGGATGTTGAACTTACAGGTTTCTGCTTAGTCATATTGTTTTTCTCTCTCTCGGTATTGAATAATAAACCTAGTTAGATGGACAATATGTAGTCCGCAGCATGTGTGCACAGTAGACCTAGTTGATTCTGTTATAAGACCGATAGTTCATCTTCCTTTGTATCGGTTCTCTAACCAACTCAACTTGTTCTTTACTCACACCGCTCGTACTGCCTCAACCTGCTCGGTTTAGGTCCGTTTTCTGTTTCTCTCTCTTTCACTTTATCAGTTTCATTTGATCTCATGGCTAGTGTCTTGCTTTCAGGTTTGCTCCATCGCTCCGTTGTCACCGCTCGTGCTTGCTTGTGTCTAACGAAGCTCTATCACCATAAAGGTGTGCAAGCTCTAGTAATTTCAACCAACTCAACTTGTTCTTTACTCACACCGCTCGTACTGCCTCAACCTGCTCGGTTTAGGTTTGCTCCATTGCTCCGTTGTCACCGCTCGTGTTTGCTTGTGTCTAACGAAGCTCTATCACCATAAAGGTTTGCTCCATCGCTCCGTTGTCACCGCTCGTGTTTGCTTGTGTCTAACGAAGCTCTATCACCATAAAGACTTTACTGTCTAATACAACCTTAGTTGATACTCTAAATAGTGTCTCTTATTGATAGTTCCCTGATCTAAAGTATCAGTTCCTTCTGGCTCTTGCTCATCAAACTGTGTTCTTAGGTTTGCTACATGTGCTTGTCACTGCCGCTATTGCTTTCTGGTGACTAACACATCTCAAACACTCAAATAATTTTGTCTTATAACAAGTTCCCTTGAACAAGAGCAAAAACCCATCTTGGAAGGACTGCAGAGTCTCAAGTGAAGTGATCTTGCAGACAAGTCTGTGTGAGTGAAATAAGATAAAATGAGGTGAGTGTCTGGGCAATACTCATACAAAGAGACTGCATCAATCAGTGGAGTTGTATGGGAACCCTTTGATTTTTGTCTTCCAATACCAGAATGTGGTAAGAGGCAGGCTCATGCTGGTGGTACAGTGGGTAGAAAGTGAAAAGTGGCTGCTTATTTAGGATTCCAGAGCTCTGAAAAATAAACTTGAAGTCATATGACTTGGACAAGTGGTTCAGAATAGGAGCTGTAAAATGAATATGAAAAATTTAAAACAAAAAATAACAAAGTTCCAAAATTGGTGAAAAATAACAAATCAAATTGATTCATGCTCACACTACAAACAATACCAGTTTCGCCCCAAAAAGAAATGGCAATTTGAGTGGTGGAAAAATGGTCCAATTTCCTGAGGCTTTTCTCCAAAATGCCTCAGGAGTAAACATCAAGCTAAAATGAGCTATTTTAGCCCAAAAAATAAAAATACATCACACTTTCCGAAAGTAATTTTTAGCTCATCTGAGGCATTCTTATTTTTTGGCTAAAATAGCTCATTTTAGCTTAATTTTTACTCCTGAGTCATTTTGTAAAAAAATGCTCAGGAAAGTGACCTATTTTCCACCAACCAAATTGCCATTTTTTCCTGGGGCAAAATCGGTATTGTTTGTAGTGTCAAAAGCTTTGACATTCATTTTTGGGAAGTGAAAGTGCTGAGAGAAAGAAAGATTGGGACATGGGAAAAATGATTGAAAATGAATTTCTTTTTGGAAAAATTGGTTTCCAGATGGCTTCAAACAGCTGTTGAGTGGGGCATTCACCAGGCAACATTGCAGTAAACCACTAGAATTTACTGTCTTGGCTCCAATCTGGACAACCAACCTGGCTAAACCTTTTTTGGTTCCAATTTTTTTCATTAATAATCATTCTTCCCATGTTCCATTCTTCTTTCTCTCAGCTCTCCCACTCTCCCAAAATGAATATCAAAGCTATTAGATTTTTTTGTTTTTGATTTTTCACAGATTTTGTCAAAACTTTATTTCTTTTTTTCAATTTTTTTTTTTTTTCATACTCATTTTTTGGGACCTACTATGCACCACCTGACCAAGTCTCATGACTTCAAGTCTGTTTTGAAGCTCTGGAATCCAAAATAACCAGCCACTTTTCACTGTCTACCCACTGTACCAATGGTGCAACAGATATGATACGATACTATACGGTATCAGGTGTTTATCTGTATCGTCTCAGAATTTGAATACCCAAAAGTGCCGGATTTGTGTTGTCTCACTTTCCTGAGACAATACACATGTATCGTCTTTGGAAAGTGAGACAAGTATTCAGTATTGCCTCAGATGACTGATCCCACCAAAAATGTATTTGATACACAAGATATTTGGCCGTATTGAAGAAAAAAAACAAAGACGATTTTTTTTTTGTAAATCCAAATCCGAGACAATGGATTTTTTTCACCAACCAAAAAAATACTGATACCTGTATCAGGCTCAAAATAAAGACAATACGATCTGATATAAATACATGTCTTGTATCTGTTTCACCGTTGACTGTACACTTGTTTGTGAAAGACTTTTTTTATGTTTGGATGTACAGCTAGGGGGGAGGGCAAATTTGATTCTGAAAAGGTGGAAAGGTGGGCACAATCAACATTCTCATTGCCATTGCATTTCAAAAAATTTCTCCAAGCAATTTGTTTTCTTGATTGTACAATGATGACCAAAAAAAGCCCAGGCCTTTCTTTGCCATGCTGTGTTTGTATCTTGGGCCAGTCAATCAAGTTTCTTTCCATGCCTCTCTTTGAGAAAGTGACCTTGTGGACTGCCCTTTCAGACTCTCACTTGCAAGGCCAAAGTATACTCGACAGGATTGAGTTGTAGATCTGATTGGTTGGCCCTGACAAAAAAAACTATTATTCAAGTCAAATGAGTTACATGCCCATACTCATCTTAAATATTGTAAATCTATTTGGGATTTGTGTGTGTTTTCATGTCTCTATATATAGATTGCTTTGATTTTTTCAAGGATTCTAAATTAAAAAAAAAACTAAAAAAACTAAAAAAAAATTGAAAACATTGTCAGCTATGTGTATGAAGCCCTGGCTTAATCAATTTAAAAGCCAAGTACTATCACTGTGCAGAAGGACTAAATCAAAGACCAAGATTACTCCTAGTCACCCTCAAGCTATTAAGGGGTCCAAACTTCCCACTCAACACTGTGAAAAAATCTCATTCAACTGGTTTCAGTTGACATGTGGGGTAATTACACCATAACTTGGTTATGACAGAGACATATCCCAAAATTATTTTTTTTGCACAGTGACCGTGCATCAAAGTTTGACACAAGTAACTCTTGATTAACATTTGAGTTGAAACACAAGTCTCATTGGAGTTCCCACATGTCAACTGCTACTGGTTACATGTGATTTTTTCACAGCGTAAGAGGTTGTAAGTCCACACTACTCAGTTAACAACACTTTGAATAGCCACAGGAGCACTGTAAGAGACAATAACAAGGGTCTGTTATTGCAGATGGTTTGAAAGCAATATTCAGTATTGCAATAAGTATCTGGAAAGCACTTGAGCTGAAAGGCTATAGCCAGGGGTGTTCATGGTCTTGTAGGAACAACTTTTTAAGGAATTAATTAAGAAGGGAATCTGGGATAATTCTGAGCCTCTTGCTAATAATTCCAGTAATAAGGTAGGGTTCAATTGGATAAAAGACTACTCCAATAGCAGGTGGAAAATATTCACTGGACTCACTTAGTTTGTTGGGGGTGAATATGCTGAGGAACCAATCCTAGGCTGGAGATGGCCTCCTTCGATATTCTAGAGGTCCACTTGAGAACATTCTAGACTCTTTCTTTTAGTATAACCATGGCAGAATCATTCCACTGATGTGATGGGAATAATTCATGGGATTCCAAATAAAGTATTTTCTATGTCCCATGCAGACATCATGATGCATATTTATAGTCAATAAGATCATGTGTCTTCTTGAAAGACAATAACACTAGTAGAAATCATCAGACTCTTGAAATAGTGTGCTGATTTCTTTCTACAAGTTTAAATAATTGATTATGCTTGTAAAATCAAATTTCCAAGGTTACCTTAAAGTTAAATGTACATTCAACCCCAATTGAACATCCATTAATGATATTCTAAACATTTTGAAACTAGATTTATATGTTTCAGATTGCATCCGCATTGGTGTGCAGATCAGGCAGGATTAGCTGCCTAATCCAATCCTCCCAACCACACTAGTTGGGATCAGAGATAGGATTAAACTAGCTCCAGAGCCAAAACTGGAGCTAGCAGGTATCAAATTTATACCACACTAATTCTCGGATTAGCAAGCTTGCTAATCCTCACTAATCACCTCAACCAATGTGGATGCTCTTACATATCCCTTTTGTCCTTCAAGGTCTTGAATTTATACAAAGTCCTTGAAGGAGTAGGAATTTGGGGATAGGCAACCCGATTTAGAATCATATAAAAAATTGTGTTATGAAACGATATTCTCAGTGATTACATAATTGATTACACATCAAATATTAATTATTGAGCAGTCTTTTGGATACTATGGAGTATCTCTAGTAAGGCTGACAAACGTAATTTAAACAATAAAATAAGAACCCAATAAAAGAAAAAAAATTCTAAGATAAACAAAACGTCCAAGAAAAGAATTAAGCACAAGAAACATTGACCAACAAAAAAAAGAAAAAGAATGAAAGAAGAGACCAGTGGAAGTGGATCTTGAGTATAACAAAGAGAAGTGTAATATCGTTTGTTTTTGAACTGAATTATAGGGAAAAACAAAAGAGGGGAGGAAGCAAGAGAGAGAGAGAGAGCTGCAAGACCTGAAAGAGCGGATGAGAATCAAACAAGACCACTGATCAGTGAATGGAATCCATATCCAACTTTCTCAAGAAAAGGAAGGAACTCAAACAAATGAATACAATGTACAGGTGAAAAGGAATATGAAGAACGTGCTTACGTGTCGTCCAGACCTAACCCAACCCAAGATCCAAATGGGAACAAGAAGAAAAAGAAACAGTGAATTGGATAAGAGATGAGAGAGAGTTCTTCATATATTTTTTGTTTCTAATTGATTGATTGACGATCAAGGACAAGGAAAGACTGTGCAGCAAACAGCAAAGTACTGGGGGGGCGGAGAAGCGGGGGAATTCAGGCAAAGAACTGGGTTCCAAACGTCTGATTGACCTTGATCTTAACAGCCTGCAGGGGCCAGACCGTCACCAACACGGCCAGGAAATCGAGCAGGAGGAGGAGGATGGAATGGAGCATGAAGCGGGGCGAGAAGATCTTCCAGACCATCAGATGTCTCCTCAAGACCAGAACAAACACCATATTGAGGAGCAGATTGATCCCAAAGAGGTTGATGAATATGAGCTGGGTTTCGAGCAGTTGAGTGTCCAAACTCCTGACGACCTGAGGATGAAGATCAGGGGACTGGGTTTGATCCAGTGGTTGTTGATTATCATCTTGATCAGGTTTCTTGTTGCGATCAGTCAAATTGATGATCGGTGAGAGGTTCCAGATCTGGAGCAATGGGAGCGCCAACCCAACGAGGATGAAGCCAGCGAAAGAGTTGAGGAAGACAAGGACGGCGGACCAGAGGAGATGGGCCTGGGGGAGCCCGACAAACCCGGCCTTCCATTGGATCGACGCAAAAGTGGCTTGATGGCCAGTGCCGAAGAAGAGCATGTATCCCAGGAAATAAAAGCCAACCAGGATATTAAGGTCTGTGGATGGAACCTTCCTTATCCTGCTCTCTTCTTCGTCTTTTGGTTTCTGGGTCACAGCAACAGTCTCAATCGCTTTTTGATAAGATTCGCAAAGACTGTCGATGTCGTTCAAGGTGTCGTTCAGTTCGACCAAACATAGGATGGCAACCAAGCCTAGCGAAAGCACCACTTGACCGACCGGCTGAGTGACCAGGAAGAGGATCCCGAAACAAGCCACTAGGAACATCAGATATGACGAGCCATACACATTCGCGAAACCAATCACCAGTAATTTGGGTTTCTTGTTCTCCCCCTTCTCCTTCGGTTCAGATTCGGATTCCGAGTCCACTCGTTTCACATCAATACACACCGGCAAGATGATCCACAACAGACTCGCAGCAAACAAACACAAGAAGAAGGCGACCCGAGCGACCAGCAATTTGACGGACTGAGCGGTTTCGATCAGCTGGGAGGAAAGATGCAAGTCTTGGTGAGAGAGGATATAATCGGTGATCCAATACTGGGATCCGCAGAGAAGAATGAGTCTCCACAGGACACCAAAGAAGAAGGAGGCGGGGCCGCGATAGGAGTCAGAGATCCCGAGGAACCAGGCCGGGAGGATGGGCAAGCCGATGGCCAGAGGGATCGAGAGACTCATCACCCAGTTCGGTGCGTTTGAGCTCGTTGTGCTGCCATAGAACGTCACCCGACATTCCCCGCCCTGTTCTTCTCTACAGACCGTCGAGAGGGAGATCAGCCGGAGACAGAGCGCAAAGAGCGATGCAAAGAATAGCAGGCGGTTCCGGAGCGCTGGCTTGGGGACACTGAAGGCGCGAATCACGAGCGGCAGGAAGAGCGAGATTGAGATCAGATGCAGGACCACCCGGTCCTCCCAGATTGTGTACGAGTTACTCCCTAGTCCCAGACCATGTAAGATCACCGGGAATAACTTGAAGAGGGTGGTGAAGGAGGGGATGCTGAATGTGGGGTGATGATTGGGCTGGAAGGAGAGGATGCCGAGAGAGATGCCAAGGGCTGTGCCGATGAGCAAGTTGGAAGTCGCGACGATCTCTGGGAAGAGCTTGATCCAAGCACTCACTCCGCCGATCAGGAGTCCCAAGCCTCCTCCAGAGAGTCCTGCCAGCAGCAAGGCACGGACGGGAGGCGTCTGAGTAGTGGGTGTGGGACTGATAGAGCTGAGTAACTTGGATGAAACCAGGAGGGAGAGGAGCATGAGGAGGATGCCGATGATCATCAGGTTGGGCTCGAACTTGGCCCAGATCTTCCGCGAGGTAGCAAGCAAGGAAGTGGCAAAGGTGCGATGGGCCTGGAAGGCCTGTTCCTCGTGGCCGGGCAGCTGAGAGAGCTCGAGTGCGCGTTGATAGAGTCTGGTGAGATGCGGGAGATGCTGGTTGAGATCGTGGGATGAGGTGGAGGTGTGGTGGTTGAGGAAGGTCCAGAGTTGTTGAGAGTTGAGGGATGCGGATTGGAGGAGTGATTGGGTTGGTGAGAGGAGGCTTGGTGGGTCTGAGTTTGAAGGGGTAGTTTGGAAGAAGAATTCAGGGATGATCATGCCGAGGTTACTGAATGGGATCGGTAGACCCAACATGAGGGAGAGGGTGGGAACGAGGTCGATCTGAGAGACCGTACGAGTCCTGCCGATCGAGGCTTCGAGCTCCAAGAAACTCTGATGATGGTCGAGTGCCCAGGAGGGTAATGGATCTTGAACTAATGGATGGGTTTTGGAGTACATCCATAGTGCTGTCGAGACTTCCAAGAAGCTGTCGCCGCCATGGTCGCCCTTTGAGTCCATGCCATGATCGCCTATGAGGACCAACAGGGTCTGATCGTCCAGTT